GTTCTTGTTTTTAAACGTGACTACAGTGGATGATAAGTAGAACCTTAAGAGCTCTAGAAATGATTCTACCGGAAGGTCACAATTAGTTTGTGGCCTTCCGGTGCCGTCAGATGCTTTCTGCACCTGACAAGTTGAAAAGGTTGTATCCGAAAATCAATTCTCAACACGACAAACAGGACAAATGCGATGTCAAGCATGTTAATAAGCTTGTGAACTGCCTTAGAGGCGTAGTATACGAGATTTTATTCTCGTGTGGGAAGGTGTACGTGGGTCAGACTGGCCGGTGTGTGAACATGAGATTGCGAGAGCATGCACTGTCTCTTAAGTTTTCACCGGCGGGACATCTTGCTCTACACGTGCGAGATTGCAAGTGTACTCCCGTATTCCATCGAACAAAAATTCTAAGGAAGTTCAGTGATCAAAGAACAAGAGAAATTTATGAGGCGCAAGTCATAGCAGCTAAAGGGGATACATGCATCAGTGCACCGTCGGTAGCTTTATCTTCCTTTTACTTACAATATTTTGTGCGAGATCTTCGTTTAACTAGATTAATGTTCAGAGTCCTCTTCTTCCTCTTTCTTTTTCTTTATTTCATTTAATTGGAGTAGGTTTTCATTGGCATTTCTTGGTGTAAATTTTTAATTTTCACCGTACTTTTTTTTTATTTCTTAATTTTGAAGTCAAAAATAATTGTTGCTTTCTTTCGTTTTGATTAGTCTTCTTTTTCATTTCGTATTAGTCCTTGCACCTCTGCTTTATCTTCATTTTATTTTTCACTAAATATCAGTTGTGAGTCAGCGCCTGTCCGTGTCTGTGTCTTCCACTTGTCCTCGACTTTAGCGCTACTTTGAAAGTCAGTAAATCACCTCAATGCCTACAAATAATTACCTCAGCTTGGGATATTCTGTTATGAGTGATGAAACCTAGAAACCTTTGGTAATCAGCATTCAATCTCTTAACCATTCGACCTGTCATACATGGTATCACCACTGATGTCCGAAAGCACAATATATTTTACCAACTTCATCATTCTTCCGGAGAGCTCGTTCTGAACCGAAGTAAAATCGTTTCTGGGTAGCATCCGCATCCTTACCTCGGGACACCTTCCTATCTCTAATACACGTTATCGTTTGTCAGAGCCACTCTTTCGTGTGACTTCAAATTGTAATTCCGCCGGTTTTGAGACGGGCAGCTTTCGTCTTCTAAAGGCCCACATGCCGCGCGATGCACGTTAAATACCTAAATTAAGAGTAGCGCCGCGTTGGTCGATTTAGTGAAACTATGTGCACGATGCAGTGGCTTGAACTTTAAACGGGTGGACAGTACATTTACTCCACTCTCGAAACAGAAAGCTTCGCTGGATGAAAACATATACCGTTTATATCTGGGGAGAATGAGCGCCAAGAGACGGAAACTCATCCTGAAAAAGACTCGAAACGCTCGTCGAAAGCCTGCACAAGCTCTCGAGGTAAATTGCTTCCGAGCAACACATCCATCCTCCCGGAGCGGCCAAATTAGCTCGAGAGCTTCGTGGAATTCGAGTGGAACGACGCACGCCAGCAGCAGCAGCAGCAGCAGGTAGCAACGTTTCCGCGGGACGCTCAGAGATGGCGCGAGCGCTCTTCCCTCTCAACAGCGGCCAAAACACACCGCCGTGGAAGCGGGCGACCTCGTGCCTCGCGGTGGCAGCTTCGTCCCGTAGGAGGAGTACCCGCCCCTGAATCGACGGCACGAGTCCTCCCACCTCCGAGGCCCCTCCCCGGCCGTCCTCCGCTCCACGGCGATCGCGTCGGCAGCCGCTCCACGACATCCCCCGGACGCAGTTCTGTTCGCCTGTGCTCGCCGACGCTGCCGCATGAGCGGCCCCCATCCACGCTCATCGAGACACCGCAGCCGCCGTCGCGACATCGAGTGCCCGAGGATGTTGTTGGTGTCAGTGTCGCCGGTGTCGACGCCGCTCCCCGCACCCTGACCCGTTGGAGTAACCGTCCTTCCCGCGCGCGGCAGCACCGCGACGACGACCCATGCGGTAGAGGAGACGCGTTTCTGCTGGCCCCCGCCGACACCACCTGCCCCCCTCCCCCAACCCCAGCCTCGACCCCTGGCATGGTGTCTCCCCCGGAAACCATGATGCCTACAGCGGCCCCCAAGCCGAAACTTGGGTTCTCCATAGAGTCCATCGTGGGTAAGGACATCGACGACCACCACCACCACCATGGACACCACCACCGCGACCACGAGGACCTGTCCTCGAGCACGGCAGACTCCCCGCGGCCGCCCGGCGGTGTGGCCGTGCCTATGGCCACGTTCCCACCGCTGGCGGCCGCTTACGCGGCCATGGTCGCCGAGCAGCATCACCATCACCAGCAGCAGCAGCAGCATCAGCTCTCCAGGTCGCCGTACTTGGGGTCCGCAGCGGGCCCGCCGACGATGCACCATCCTCCGCACGGGTTGGGACACCTCGTGGGACCCGGTGGACCGTTCATGGTGTCTAGGGACCCGCAGCCTCTCTACCCGTGGCTTCTGGCGGCCAGACACTCGAGGTTCCTCACGCATCGCTTCGGGGGTAAGTGCCGTGATGTGCACAGTGCGTGTGTGAAATCCCCCATGGTGGCTGCGTGGATGTTGCCAGAGGGTTTGCTGGGGCGGAATCGCGTTTGAAGGTGCACATCGGTTTGTCCTGGCGTGTTACTCGTAATGGGAGGCTCTTTCTACGGTTCATATCAGCGGAACACTCTCCTCATTTGCTTTCATGCGCAATACAGTGAAGATGAAGTGACTTACACAGATACCGCGTCACGCGTGACATGCAGCGTTGTCCAACAATGATTTATATGTTACACATCCCAAGATGTTACAACAGCTCATTAATGACATCAAATCAAATTTAAGATTGCATGACCAAACCAACGTAGGACTTCTGGCAACCCATAAATGACCGATGATACACATAGCACACCTGGTGATAAGTAGCCTTCGTCAGATGAGCGCGCTTGACCTCACTTCAGGCAGCTTGCTGCTAATTCACCGGCCGACACCTATAGTCTTTAGAGCCGTCGTTGTGCAATAAAGTTCTTAAACGTTCGTAATGTAAGTTCTCCCCAAGAAACTTGGGCTTCATATAGGTTTATATAACGCCAATCATACCTTTGGCGATGTAGCCTACCACGATGAGATAAAAATCGCTTGTTTATTGTTTTGAGCTTCGTGCAGTCTAGGGCGAAATGTTACGCCTTAATGAATGCCTCAGTAATGCGCTTTTATTATTTTTACAATAGAGTCGCCGAAACGATATAGCTTCTCACTTTATTTCATTCTTTTCCCGAATGCGTCGCGCCTGCATCTGTGAGTAAGTGGGAAGATTGATCTAAACGTCACATTACAATAGCCGATAGATATCACCTCCAAGTTCGAATTTGATATATTTGAACGAAGGTCTCGTTGAAATATTTTTCTGCTCCTATTGACGCATCTGGGCGGCCGTTTCCATTGTTCTGTGTATGAGCATCGCGTCACTTTTCACGTTTCTGTAATAGCTAATTTCAAAATAACCTTAGGGCATTTAGCAGCCCTGCTTTCACAGCAAAAACGACGCTGCAAACACAACAATACTACAATAGTTTCCGAAGGCCAAATTCAGATAAAATAGACACGCGATCCGTGTCAGTGCACAACGAGAACCCGCGAGACGGAAGTTTAGCACTGTTGTCGCTACTCCTTGCACGATATGACGACACTCAAGATGAGCTAACTCGCTGCATATGTTTGTTCTAGACAACCATATAGAAAAAGCACACGACGATGTCATCGTTCCCGGTTGCTGATTCTCATTCAGCAGAGAAGACGTCGGACGTTAAAGGGAAATGCGAGTTTATATACAGTTTCTTTAAGACTTATTTTAGACTTCACTGAGCAGCTGACGCATTTGCTTTCATTGAAATATCACTCTTATGCGTTATATTGGCGATGCGGTCAAACTATACAAGGGTCACTTTGTGCAACCTGTTTACTACAAAGCTCCCTGTTTACCCAACACAAGGTTTCTGCACTGCGTCATTTACGTCATCTACCTCGATCAAGCGCGAATTAAGGAATTGGACAATGCCTCAATGTCCGACCTGGACATGGTGTACAATCGGTACTAATTGAACACGAGCTGCAGCTGAACGCTAAGTCAGAAACAAACAAGTAGTACCGGCCGACTTGATTCTTAAACGGCTGAAGTGAACCGCTAGAGGGGTGTGATTGCCGGACCTTCTGCCCCATACGAAGTCGTTTAAGCTTAGAACTGGTGAACATTAAATGGGAGAAAAAAAATGTTCCTGTTTTTTATTAAAGAAAGCCATCAAACATTTGTAATTTATACCGTTAAAGCTTGAGTAAATGAAAGGTGAAGCTTTTCATTGGCGCCTGTTGCGTCAGTATCATGCTCCGCCCGGTTATGTGCAAAATGATGACAGATGTCGAATCGAGTCCTGTTCGCTATCATTTTGAACAGTGGTCGGGAGGTTTCGTCGTCCGCTGCAGTTCACACTTCGTGGCTCTTGTACCGAAATCGAATGAACGAGCAAAGTCAAATACACTGCATCTTCTCTAAGATAGTTATCATCGATGTGGCAGTTATCTCGTCGTCCAGTTAGTGACGAAACCGACTTTGATACATTTTTTGCGCGTGTGCACCAAGTAATCGAGACAATTCAGGTATCAGTATGAGTGCTGATTGTGCAGTCCACTAATATTACCGCATTTATAAGTTCAAAACCCATATAGTGAAAAAAAAAAATATTCGTGTTTTGTAAGCGGGTTTACAAAGACAAAAATTACCTAGTTTATTCGGTGACATATTGTATGTATATCAATCTTAATACAGGATGATTATAAATGTACCACCCTGCTTTAGATGTACATGTGCGCTTCTTGCAATACTCCGGCAATTTCTTTTCACTCAAAATTAACTTACGACTGCCCCTGGTAGTCATTTACGTTAACTATGAGCTGCGTTGAGTTGCGTTCGAACTAGAACATATTGTGCTGCCCTCGGTTGCCATAGCAACGCGCCACTCAGTCGGTCGTACTCGACACGGAAATGACCCTGAATGAACCAGTCTTTATACACATCGTTTCAACCTAAGTTCAGACGTAGCCGACGCTACGAACTAATGCAGCCGATCAGGCAGCGTGAAAAGTGCACCGTCATGGTGTTTCTTATGTTTCTGTTGTGTTCTATTATCGATGAACGAATCATAAACAGAAAAGGCCTAGTGACTTGCTCTTTTGACACTTCTTGAATGATCCCTTTTATGTCGCAACGACGGCTGCGTCTGGACTTAAAGGCCGACGCCAGACTCGAGCTTCTGCAACGCAGAAGATCCTCCTCACTATGGGGGAGGAGGAAACAGGCAACGGTGGACTGGGTAGCTGGGGGGATAAGAATAAACGGGGGAAAAGTGGAAAGCGCAAACCGGACGTCGGTCTTTAAGCTGAAACAATGTATATAGTCGTCACACGAAACACGCCGTGATTACTAATGCGAGATTTTGCGGATATTGGAGATTAAACGAACTCTGTGCGACGGACAGAGATAGCGGCGGTACCCACCCACTGCCCGTCTATACGTAGTTTATAGCACAATCGTCCAGCTACGATCGCGGCGCACAAGCGCGCACACACGCTGCCCAACCCGTCGAGGCCGAAAACGTTCGGAACGCATTTCCCTGCATGGTTATATCCTCGTGGCCTCAAAGCGCGTGAAGGTTAGGAATATCGCGCTGCTGAAATTAGCGATAGTCCCACGCTGCTGTTTCTTTTTTGTTTTTCCTTCTGGGAAGTTGGTGCTAATCACCGGTTATAAGGTATAAGGTTATTAAGAATACACACTCGTGCGTATTGCAAACATTTCATACCGGAGTTGCGGGACTGAAAGGTACAGAATGCTCAGGTGTTCCTTACTAAATGCTGTTATCTCGTGGTGTTCAGTTACGGTAATGCACTTAGCTATTTTATTTAAATTTTTGGCTGTATTTATTTTTTGTCGGAGCTCCGTAATACTTGTTTCTGTTTACACGTTCAATGAAAGTGTAAGTGCCGGTCACGTGCCTAAGGCAGACAACTTGATAATTTTGTTTATGACGCATACATTGAAAAAAAAAATATACCTCGATGCGTCAAAGCTATGTATGAGCCAATCACTGCGGTTATCAAGAAAGGTCATCGAAGGATGATGGGGTTTAGATATTTCACCCAAATATGAATCGAACGATGCGTCATGGCCGCGCAATGCATTTTCCCACGTCATGCTGCCCAATGTTGCACCGCCGACTTCATTTTGTCATTGGGGCGTAATTCGTATTTTATTTCTCTCATTATATGCTGAGCTCTATCCGGGTACTTACTACTTTAGATCTACCCTCACAGAGCTATCCATGAAAGTACTGACGCGCGGCATTCTTGTTTGAACACTTCGTTTCACATATTAACTACGAGAGCAGCCGATGCTTATGCGATCCGATGGAGCGAAAAAAATCAAGCGACGCAAAAAATGTATTATGATGACGCTGACGCTCGTTCGTTGTCTTTCTGCGTCTGCTATCGCCAGCCATACCAATCCCGCACTGAAAAAGAAAAGAGCAAGATTACGACGAATTTATTGTGCGAGATTGGTTTCGGCTGGAAGTAGCGAGCGCAGAAACGACGAGCTGCGTGACGATGCGCTTTTGGAGCTCCTAGATTGACTCCGTCTGACCTTTGCATCGCTTATCACCCGGGCTAAAAAGGCTGAGTCACTGAGCTGCGGACGCGTGCGAAGTGTTTGATAGCGCACAACAAGGCAACAGCGCATGCTCAGAAGGCCTTCCACAGCCCAGCCGACAACGATGGCAGCGCGCAGAATGCGATTTTTGAGAAGGTGTATGCGGAAAGCAAGTCATCTGCTTCTTGCGGAGGAGTTTCCGTGACGTCAGAACGACGCTGAGCTCTGATTGGTTCCACTATCCCTCAATCAGAACCAACCAGAGCTCAGCGTTCTGACTCTCCACAACCCGTGCAAAAGAAGCGGGCGAACTTGCGCCCCGCATAGCGTCTCCGGCGCTCCGACTTGTTTCAAATGAGGTATAGCGGCGTGTATATTGTCATTCTGAATTTCCGAGCCTTCAACGATGACAGCTTTATAGAGTCTACCTACCTGCCCGTGATTGTATTCAACGCAACCTGTACGTGCGCGTTCACAAGTGGCCGATGCTCGGAGAAGCGCCTGGAATAGAAAACGTGTGCCGATCTCTCCCACGCGATCCAAAAGTGACACAGAAAAGGGTTGTTTTACACATTTTAGTCGAGGAGTGCGCCCGCGGGTTCGCTGTTGGAGCGCTGTGACACAGACTTCCGCTCGGAAAGTGGCTTTGCGGATGATTGAAAATAAGCAACGAACGGCGCGGCACGTGTCTCTTTTTTGCGTGGGCCCGTTACCTTTTTTTATTTTTTTGCCGGTGATGAGGTGACAGCTTTGAGCGATATATAGTTCTGTTATTTCGCGAAAATAACGTTCTGTTTATTCGTTTCAGCGTGCAGTAA